GAGGTCATGTTCACCATGAGCTGTACCTGAGATGTGGAGTTCGCTTTATGGGGCCGTGCCAATCCCATCCCCAGCGCACCATGAGGGTCAGGGCCTCTGCCAAGCTGATGTCACCGTTGCTTATACCCTGTCATCAGTCACTTGGGACCCTGTCAGTATCCACTGCATCCCGCCTGTTTGATTCCACTCAGTGGCCCATCAGAGTCCTGCAGGAACAAAGCACACACACCGACTACCTCGAAAGCATCTGCCTGTTGCAGGATTCGATGTAGCGAAAGGAAATACCTGCAAACTCGTCACTGCCAAGGAACTGATGCAGTTGCCACGCCTTGGAACTAGAGGCAGCAGCTCGGGGTGCCACCACAGGCCTGTGCGCTTGGTACTTTGTCGCGACTCTCCCAGACATAATATCTCAAAGCTCTGACAGAGTCCCGCCCATGCGTGGTCTGGGCGGTGGATGTAAGACGGTGACATCAGGCCTCGTGACATCTCACGTTTGTGGCTCCATTGGCAGCGCACACTTGTGCCGCGCGCCTGATGATCTTCCAAGTACATCGCAATCCAAGAGTCCATGCCTTCAGTACAGGTCTGATGGAAACAGGCTTCAAGTTTTTAGCTCTGATTGGGCTTGCCATGAGCAGAGTCGGCCAAATACTTCGCACCAAGCCTGCCGAAGCTCTCTGAGTTTGACGTATGTTTGATAATAGATTGCGTGTTGGCCTGAGAAGAAGGGCAACATCCAGGTCCTCGAAAGAGTTGAGTAGCGCTGACCTCAAGGCAGAATGATGAGTGCAACTCCACAGAGAATCTATTCGTCCGACCAACTCCACCAAGAGGAGCCACCAGTGTCACCATGGCATCGTTCAGTTTCACGATCTGCACAATGATGTCTAATGAGAGCTAAGTAAACCCAAAATGACCACGATGATTGCACAGCCACTCTTGCCTCATCCACAGCTTCCCAGTCGAGATTCAGGCCCAGGCGCGCAAGCGTCCCGGACTTAGTGACAGACAGCGCCAAATAAAAACAACTGCAGCTGCGGTGGAGTCATGAAACACGCATGCCTCTGAGGGCCTAAGTGGGGCTGGTGACCGACTTGCGACGATACTCTTTTGGTCCGTGCGCTTGTGGCTGGCACATCACTTAACTCATGTGCGACGATAGACGATGCCCAGCTGACAAAAGCGGTTTGGGCATGATGATGCCTGGCACTTTGCTAAGCGTGAGCCTGACTCACTTGCGGCGATGAACAAGAATCAAGAAGACCCCTTGCCTGGTAAGCAGGTTCAGGGTGCTTTGGTCGCTTACATGACATGTGGCCGCTGTTTAGGCTGCTGGCGAGGGGGTGCGCGTAGGCGCAACTGCATCCATGCTGCTATTCTTTCCGAGCTTGGGTGGCACTGCTTCGGCGCTGGTTTCGCTACCGAACTAGTGCCATGTGCAGGGCATCATTTGCGTCTCAAGTTCTGAAGTCATTGCATCAATCTTTACACGGGTTCCCACGTGTCACAATTCGCGCAAGAGCAAGTAGCTGATACGGCATTTGCATGTGCAAGCCTCGGGCACCATGATTGAACGGCGGCTATGCGGCTGAGATACCATGTGAATTCTCTTGGCCCAGCACACAACGTCCACCTTCCCCACTGAAACATTTGCCAGGCCCGTGCAACATGAAGCAGCCTTGCCCGCACTCAAGTCCGCAGTGCATTTCTCAATCACCTGGCAGAATGTGTTTTGCGGCACGGTGCAGCTGTCATTCAATGCCTCCTTGACGCGTCCGTGCAAATTTTGCACGGCATCCTGTCCCAGTCATGAGGTTGCTACCCATGCTGAAAACAGAAATTATTTCTGGCTGAAGCGTCAAATATTCAGGCACTCAGCTACCCCGGCAATGCTAAAATGCAAGCTGGAGAGCAACTCCAGTGAGTCAGAGCACCCTCGCGGATGGATTTGTCTCAGCTTCATGCACATTTGAAGGGCTACACTTGCTTTCTTGCACCGAACGTGGATCCCCAGTTGCTTGCAGGTCCTGGGTGTAATACTTGTGCACGCACTTCAAAACCCTTGCGTGGTCGGCCTCCGGCAGGCAAACAAACTACCCCTGTTTTCTGCAATGCAGCTTGTTGGCTGACTTGCGTTGCACACTCATTGCCACCCCAAACTAGAACTCTCAGGTGCCTTGGACATGGTGTTCAGCGCTACCAAGCGGTCGTCTTTGAAAGGATTGGAGCTGAATGAGGCGTGGTCGCTCATCACCTGCACAGCATCAAGTTCCCTTCATGGCAGCATTTAAAGGCAAAGCCTCCTTGCAGGTCGCGTACGAGAAGGCAACAAAGGTCCCAGGCTCTCCTCTGACCTCCAAGTCCAGTTCATAACATCCATCACACGTGCGGTAATCAAACTCCTCACATGGAATGTTCATCCTTCCCGTTCTAGCGAATGATGCGTACAATGGCTGATGATGATCCCACTTCATCCCCATCAACACAAAAATGCTACAGCAAAGACCGCCTCAACGAAGCGCTTGCCCTCGAAACGGTCGTGGAGATGCGCGTTGAAGTCCAAATGATGCTTCCGAACCTTGTGGGTGCTTTGTCATGCTGCGTGTGCTGGCCACCTGCGTTCTACAACTTTCGCATCACGAAAGCGATCGTCACCATCCGAGTCACCTCGGGATTCAGCAAGTCTTGGATGTGCAAGTAGTCGCGATCCCTCAGAGCTCGCTTCAGAGTTCCCTCTCGCAAAACCCAACCGGGCAAGCAGATTGAGAAATCAAGTGCAGCACCTGTATGGCGGAGTTGATCTAGTGGGCGTCTTGGAGCACAATGCTGCCTCTCTTCAACGCTTGGGCTGGCACTGTATTGCAGCTGATCGCATTGCTAATCGTCGCCGGAATCACAAATAACAAAGCGAAGAACATGAAGGTAACGAATGCAGGTCCAGAGAGTTCATTGTACTGCATGACGGACCTGAGATTCAAGGCGTGTGTGCGCACACGATACAGCGCAACGCATCAACTATAAACTCATGCTGAGAGCAAGACTCGGTAATCCCGCCCAAATGGCCCGTATAAACAGCCATAGCTGGTGTCACTTGCCCAGAACGCAAGGTCCGAGGTTGCGAGTTGTTGTTCGCTTGCGCATCTCTGGCATGTCAACAAGAGTCAGTCGCATCACTGCTCACCCCGAAGAAAGACTTGAGCGGCAGAGCTGACAGGACAAAGTGAGCAAGGTGTGCACGATGCACAAAACTGCTTCGCCCCCCCTCCTCGTTTTCAACCTCTCAACCCCTTGTGCATACTGTGAGGCTCTAAGCAGCAATTGAAACGGAGTGCCACGGTTGATAGAAAGTGATCCTGTGCCACAAGCTCATCACGGGCCGGCGCCAAACCTTGTCTGGATGCCCAGATCAGCCCTTCTTCGATGTTCATGACGTGGCGCAACTGCTGCCTTAAGCAGCTTGATATCCAGTGAGCTTCAGGAAATCGCAAAGCTGGACCTTGCTCTGTTAAAGTCGTGTTGCTCCAATAGTCTAGCAGTCCGCTGTGACTCAAACATTCTTTGGCCTGGGCGCATGCCGACGTGCCAGTAGCAGCGGAGGTTGCTTTCCTACGGTTCCGGCAAGCACCTTCAGCGCATGGGCGAGACCAGGAGCCAAGTGCGAGAAAGCAAAACTGCTCCACATATAAGGCTGCAGCGGGTCAACATCTGGCAACTTCCCGGTAGACAGGGACTTGAAGTAAATGTAAAGCGTAGCACCTGCGAGAGCTGTGCCAGAGCCGAATGTTAAAGCGATTGATGTTTTCCCTTGCAGAATGAATGCACCCTGTTGCCGAATGTACGAGCTCAATGGGCTTACAGTAATTGACGAAGCTGCGCATGACTGACGTGGTCTTAGTGTCAATTAGATGAGTGTACCCAGTGCAATATCCTGTTCTATAGCAAATGACAGTGATAATTGACCATTGCTCATAACATCATCCTGCTCTGGCAAATCCACCAAACCAAGCACGAAGTGTAGTTGAGGCAAACGCCCATCCCCCACGATAGGCCAGCACAAACGCCAGCATCCAAAATCGCCCGGTAGGGATACGGCATGCGCTTGACCTCAAGTTCCATGACTTCTTCACTCAGCACAAAAGGCATGTCATTTAACTTCTCTTGGATCGCAGCAAGGGCAACAATCACCATGATGCCAACGATCAAGCCCCAGGAAGCTGCCTCGCTTGGTCCATCTGCGTAAATGGAAAGTGCATTTTGGTTGGTCGCCTTGCTGAAAGACAAGAAATGGCAAGCCAAGGTATTCACGACTTCTGAATCCCAGCCTTGCGCTTTCTGTGCGTGTGGAAGAAGGCCATAGCATATGCCGGAGCAAGCACCTAACAAGCAATGTTGGTTTCAAGGCGACAATTTGTCGGCATCCAACAGCTCGACACTTTGGCTTGCACCTGACGGTGAAGTGGCTGCGAGCCATCCAGCAAAAAAGCTCGCCGGACAACCAGCGGCGAGAACTTCTGCTGAAAGCCACGGTAGCCCTGCACCGCCAAAGATACTAGGTCCTCTGCAACTAAGCTATGCAATAGATATCTTGCCCAAGCCTCTGCATAAGCAAAGAAGAATCCCGAAAGCACCTCTGGCAACGTATCATCTGCTCTGGCTTGTCAAATCACACAAAATATCAGCCCAAATGCATAGGCACACCAGCCAGCAGGCCCTAGTCCTGCCGATACTGCACTTCAATTTGAACACGCTGACTGCACTCTATGGATCAGGGGACATGCATGCCATCCCTGAGTCTGTTCAACTCTGCAAACATTGGCGATGCAACCAAAACAACCGAATTCCCAAAGCCATGAAACATGTCTTCCCGGAGTCTCTCCAAGGCTTCTCCTTCCAGCACATCCAAATTTCTCCAAGGGTCTTAGTGGCCCCATCCAACACCAAGGATCCCCTGTTGAATTCCGAATGCCTTCGGGAGGCAGCTCCAAGGCGGATGCGGAACAAAAATGGATACAAATGGGTGTGGCTCAAAATTCACCAGGAGGGGCAAACCGCAGGTTTTGGTCCACGTTTCCACTTACCAGGGCAACCCATTTTGGAATTCCGGTTTTTTGAGCCACAGCCAAATGTTGCAACCATCAGATCCCAACCAATGGCCGCGCGTGCGTCCTTTAGTGAATGGCTGCAGCGCCACTGGAGCGCAGCGCCGAACTCCATTCAGCCTGACGGCTGAGCCAGCTTCGAACTGGTGCCCGACTCTCCAGTGCTGGCACGCAGCCCAGGGACAAAATCAAAGTGATGCCGATGATGGCCCAAGTGGAACTGGCAGTCGCGCGGGCCTGGTTTGAAGCAGGCTGACTCTGCAAGCCTCCCACCAATCAACATGCCATCTTCAGGGAAAAGAGCCCGGCCTGCGCGTTGCCAACTTGTAGCTTGGAAGCGTTCATGGAGAGAAACAATTGGAATTCTACAGTTTGGAGCCAGAGGTTCGAGAGACCAGGGATACTTATGGGACCAAAACAGCTTGGCTCTGCACGCGCCATCCACTTTGAACCGCAGCGCACTCTCCCTGCCAGAAGCTGTTCAATGACTCTCTGGACACCTGAGCGAATGGTCTCGAGCGCAAGCGCAAAATGCGGGGCATTTGCTTGGGCTGCGTGCGCACAGCCATCCCGGTCCAGCCTCAAAAGTTGCTTAAGGTGATTCGACATTAAGTCAGAACAATGTCAGTTGGCCATGCATCTGAGGAAGGAGCAGAAGACGGCGAAAGTCCTAGATTATCCAGGAAGGACCTGGCAAATGGCAACATCATCAAATGCACCGTTCCGTCTGACATCGACCAAACATGGCATGGGGCACTGCATGGCAGGCAGCAGCATTGGCATGCCCTCTATGCTGTTAGCTCCTCGCCCGACAACAATGTCCTAAGCTGGCACCGCGACGCTAAAAAAATACGGAAGAAAAAGGACGCTGAGGCTCCCACCAGGTCGTGTCGCGCGCAATACTGGTGGCGGTGTGCAAGCTGCAAAAGGGTCGCACCTTAGGCTCAGTGTCTGAGCCTTGATCCATCACTGCAGGTTTGGGTCAAGAATAGGTGCCCAAAATGGAAGCAAGGAAATACAACCTGCAGTCCAATTCCTGACACACACACACACTTAGACTCCAGATGGAGGGTTCTAATCTTTCGAGTACAACTGATGAGTCTCGAGTACAACTGATGAGTCTCGAGTACAATAAGTTTCGGCTCGCACATCACTCAGCTTCACTCTAGTTACTTGAACAGGGGCACACAAAAGCAACGGCGGTTCAGGGAGGGGACCAAAAGGACCTTCAGAAACATCACTTCACAAAAGCAGGTACACGCGGATGATCAGTCCGCGTTTCCCCCATGATGGGTTAGCTTCGTTGGCACAGGTCACCACCATGGGCCTGTGCCCCCTGCTGCAGTGGAAAAAGGTTTTGGTGGCAGGGTATTCTGCCACTCCGCACACACACGCCCCTCTGTGAGGGGCGAAAAGTCTCTTTTTCTGCCGGAAGATCACATGCTCAGCTCCTCAACTCTCGTCAGATATGGGTGGGGCGTAGGTGAACATCTCCTCGACCCGGATGATGTCCGGATTTTGCACCTCAACCAGCGGTTGATCCGGAGCATGATGGGTGGAGAAAGACTCATAGCGGGATAAAATCCGTTGATAGCCTTGATGTTGCCAGTCACGAATTGTCCATGCTTGACCTGGTTCACGACTCCCATCATCAGGATCGGTTACCCGTTTCCACTCCCGAAACGAGTTGTCTGGTAGGTCAGGTACTGCCTCTTCTGGGTGCCACAGTTGAAGTTGTCCCGGGGTATAGATCCGCACCCACTCCTGACCTTGCCAGACGGAATATTCGAGCCATGGGTGCTGCTCGTCAGTTCGGGGCAACGTCTGAGTTGCATCATCTGTGTCCATGTCGAAGTGAAAGACAGGGCGTACAGGGCGTACCGCAGGTTCCGATCCAGCTAGCAAGGAAACAGTCACCATGCACAACCATGCACAACCAGCAAACACACAAGAAAGCAAGCGCATGAGAAAGCACCCTTTTGTACCACGATCAAAACGCATCAGTCTATTCATCGCTTAGCTCGAAGATAGGCTTCTCCTTGTTGGTAGAGCTGCATGGTTGGGTCGCAGGCAGATAAGGATCAGCGACCCCAATAGACTCAGGTGGTTCAACTCCACGAGACGCACGTACTGGTTGGTGCTGATGGGACGCTTGACGCGCGCGATCCGACAGTTGCTGACAGATCCCAGCTTGAAGACGAGTGAGATCCTCAGTAGAGAAAGCCGAAGCATCCGAAGATCGAAGAATCGCATTCAACATCTGCGGAGACATACACAAAGCCGATGATTGCGTGGCCACGCTATGTTGATCAGGAGAAGACATAGTATTGAAGCCGTGATCAGCTTCAGGGGCTGCAACACGCCGGTAGCCCTCAGTGGTCCAGTCCCTCTTGTGCCAAGTGCTCCTGGCGGGCTGTTCACCTTCTTGGGCAAGATTTGGAGCATAGAACTCCTTCCACTCCCTGTCGTATGACGTGGAGGCGGATCATCACGTTCATCTTGTGGTGTCCATGATCCTGGATGAAAGATCTTGACCCATTGAGCGTCAGGTCGTTGAGGGTCAGGGCACCATTCTAACCACGGCATGGTGATAGTCAAATGTGCACACGGCTGCAAGGAACAAACATGAATCAAGGCAATCAATCAAAAGGCCGCAGGCAATGCGCTCTAGATGCAAGACACAACCAGCGCAATGTTTAACAACACTCAGTCCAAGCATCAATGTCACTCGCCCCAATCAAAATCAGGATTATAGCTCGGAGGGGGAGAAGGTTCACGCCACGCACCGTCGGGCACTGAAGACGCCGAAGACGACGACAATCCATCGGACAAGAAATCTGTCGATCCAATGTATGGGCGTGGGTCACCAAGGCGCTGGTATCCCCGTGTGTGCCAATCACGACATTGCCACGTGTGATAGGAAGCGTAGGAGACAGGTGTTGCCAGTGCATCCGCAGTGGTGCCTCCTGTGCTGTCACGAGGCAAGTACACGTCAAAGTGGTAAACTCTGCGCCATTCACGATATGTGGACGCGCGGTCCGGAGCCGGTCCAAGTGTGGATTCTGCCACAGGCTGCCACATACCCGGCGTGTAAACACGAATCCATTCCACTCGTGTGTTTGCCGGGCCTCGCTCAATGTGGTACTCAAAGTAGCGCGGCAACATGACAACCGGATGAGCCACCATGTCAGAATTTAAAGGGCAAATGAAGCCAAGGGGTCTGCGATAGAACAAACATGCCAAAACCGACATGCATGCCATGCACAATCAGCAAGCAATGCAAAGCAGAACAACTTTTCAAACTCAAGGCGAGATGCAGCGACAAAGCATGTGGTATATTTCGGCAATGGTTCACCGCCGTTGATGACGTGCGCATCTGCAATGGAAATGTCCTGGTTGACGTCGCACACAGGGAGAAAGACACTTCCGTCCATGATGTAGAAAGGCATGGCAGTAATGCTTGCATCTTGTGGTTCTGGACCGTGTTGCACGAGTAGACCTTTTGGGAGTGAACACGGTGAAGGGTCGACGAGAATAATGCTCTGCAGAGGTTGATGCAGTAGGTTTCAAAGTTCGAGTGCGCTTCGGGGTACGCGTGAGATCATCAGCACTGAATTGGTCGGTACTGCGAACTGAGCGTCGTGTGCGTTCAGAGGTCATAGTAGCCGGGCAAGGTTGTCCTCGGGGGGAAGAGGTAGTTGAAGTCATAAACTGCGGGTGAAGAATCTCCGGTGGTGGTGGTGGTGGTGGAGGAGGAGGAGGTAGTATCAACTGCGGCGGAGGTGGCGGTGGTACCGTCATTCGCAATGTCCTTTCTTCTTGGCCTCTAGATAGGCGATCATGAAGTGCGGGTCCGTGATACTGCAACCACGTCGGCGGCACTCCATGGGTCCAGGTTATACATGTCTGCACATTTTGTTCCATCATGTTTTGAACACTCAGGACAGCAAGAAAAGGCAAGACAACACCAAGTCCAAAGCAATGCACAACCACGCGAAAGGAATTTTGACGGCGCCAATGCTGCAAAGTAGTCTAACCGCGCGCCTCAAGTTGCTGGTAGACCTTCCACGCCTGCTTGACTTCCTCGGCAGACTTCTGGAGGGAGCGGGCGATAGTCTTGTAGGTGGGCCTAGCATCCTTGTCTTTTTTGCGCCTGACCATCTCATCCAGCTCACCTTGTGTCCACGCCGTGAATGGTTCATGATACGCATTGCGGAGGGCAATAGTGAATTCCTGCAGAAGTTCTCGAGGTCCGCGCACCACTGTCGGTGATGGGCGAAACGATGAAGCACCGGGATGTGGACGGACAGAACCGTCCGAATCCGAATCAGGCGTAGAAGACGGTGTCGTCACCGGTCCACGGTCATTGCTTGCTGCGTTGGGAACGAGTGCTCTTGGTGGTGGTAATCGGTCAACCAGAGCATCTGGACGATGACCAGGGCTTCCTCCTGGAACTTCACGACGTGTTTCCTGAGGAGGTGACCATATTCCAGGTCGAAGAAGTGTCCACGGGCCGAGTCCTGGTGTGAGGGGGAGTGCGAGACCGATCTGATGTGATGCGCTCCGTGATGATGCGTGGGCGTAGTCCATGTCTTGAGTTACGTGGCGCCCTGGGAGCCATCCGGGGATCTGATTCCGAATTTCGATCTACCGCCAAGCAAAGTTCAGGGCGTTCAAGGCTGTAGCAACTTGGGAGGCGAGAACGTTGAGCACCGCCACCAGGTTATTCACGAACTCTGGAGAAAACCACATGGCAAGCGTAATCAACGCAAGGACAACACAAGCAAGAGGTGGCTGCGAGTCAACACAAACAACGCAAACTGGCATGCATTACTGCTAAATCCGTAGACTGAGGACTTTTTACCGCTTGCCGAGATTCAACGGCCATAGCAGGAGAGGCCGGATGGTCGACACGCCGGGTGATCACCCGACATCTTTGCAGCTTCCGCCTGTCTTCTATGGCGGCACATGTCTTGCTCACCTTGGAGATCCTTCGTCCCCGTCTTCTGAGCGGCCTTGTACGGAGCGGGCAGTTTCGCATTCTCCCCGCCGCTGTGGATAGTCACGATGGTCTGAAGCAAGAGCAGGTCCCCGACGGCCAAGCGGTCGTCTGCGATGGCTACGGCTTCGAGACCGATGCCGATGTGCGTCACGGCGTCTGGACCTCCTTCTCCGATTGCGCTCCCTGGAGGCGCTGTCACTCACTGGCTCGATGAGATCGGCCGGTTCCACTCGATTAGTAGAAGTAGCCACCAACGTGATGGGCATCGATGCGTAAGTTGGTCTCACCGATGATGCCTTCGGAGATGTTGGCGCCGGTGTCGAAGGAGGCGGGAGCGGTGGCTGTATCTCGGGAACTGTAGGTACTGGGGGGACAGCAGGATGACCAATGGGTACCGCGGGGGGAAGCGGTGGTTGTGGATGTCGCTGGTGACCCTCAAGGCTACCAGGATACTGATGGAGTGAAGTAGGTATCGACATTCTCGTGAAAGGTCTCCATGATCCATGACAGCACGATGCGGCTGGTGATGGTGGAGTGATCCGATCAGTAGCAAACCCCAAACTGCGGAAGCATCAAAATTAGAAGCAACCAAGCAACAAGGTGCATCAACCCGCAAGCATGCAACAACACCGCGTGCTTTTTCGGAAGATAAGCGTCATGATAGATACCACGAAAACAGTTGGCACAAACCGCGGAGAGGTAGTGCAAGGGAGTTGTAACGAAGGCCTTCACCAGAACATCCCCAAGTAGCTAGGAACCGCAATGGATGATCGAAGCTTCCACCTGCCGTCTTTGGCATGAATGCAATCATAGTAATGGGAAGCTGCAATGTCGGCATACGTGCCCCCGCGCGGAATGACGCAGTGGGGTTGGCGCAGTCTCGCCGCTCCCCCAATGCAAATGGGGCGATGAGAGTGCACTCCGGCAAACTGGGCGGCAGCTTTCACCGCTGCCTCATGAGAAACAATGCTGCCTCTGCAGTAGAAACCCATTGGAAGAATCCATCGTTCCAGTTGGTGTATTCGGGATTGGGAGGTGGTTGCATCAGCCATTTCGAAGGCCGGACGAGCTCCTCATCTTTCAGGATGGCGATGGCAGCGTAGATGTTGGTGTTGTGCGCCCAGAAAAACGGTGAGATCGACTGAGAGCGATGGTTGTCAGGTAGTTGGCGGCGTGGTTCGAAGGAAAAGAGGATCCCGAAGTGATTTTTCCTCGTGTCTTTCTTGGTGGGCTGAAACCGGTGGTAGGTCCGTCTGGTCTTCTGGATGTGCGGCCAACACTTCTCGCAAACGCCTAGCTGAACAATGAGTTGCTCGGGCAGCGTGTCCGTGGAGACCTTGAACTCTCGGGAGATCTCGTTGATGACCTGAGCGGTCCAGGATTGCCGTGTGGCGGTCGCATAGCCGGCAGTTCGGAGACAGACCTCACTCGCTCCTCATCCTGTATGATGCTGTCTCGGTGCGGCATGAGGCTCCTGTAGACGGTTTCCCAGGATTTCTTCCACGGTCTTGAACGTTAAGCGATGTTCATCGATCAACTTCGTCAGAACAGGTTGAAAGTCAGTAGAAAAACTGGATCTTTGTACATGCCAACGGCGAGCCAGTTTACGAAGCTGCGTGTCAAAACGTTGTTGAAGCTTGTCGAAATACTGATCCTTCATGGAAGCTGCCATGATGTCAGGATCAATGTCAGCGTTGATGCGTGAAAACTCATCCAAGATCACTGCGTGAGTGTGTGCTCGAAAAATGTTGGGGTCATCCATGTCTAAGCAGCGACACGGAAACAACGTGTCTGGAGTCCATCTGCGCTGCCAGTTGCGGTAGTTGTAGATCCGGTCTCCCAAGGTGGCACTGCGAGTTTCCACAACACGGATCTTTGGAAGAAATAAAGAAGGAAAAAGGTCACGGTGTGATGCAACCCAACGCTGCAACCATGTTCCAAGCTGAGCCTTCCAATTTCGAACGTGTAGAGGTGGAAGAAGTAGTTGTGTCATGGTAGTTGGTACCTGAAGTTGTCGCTTACGCATGACCTGGGCGAGGAGCTTCTGCGCCTTGGAGCGAAAAGGCTCGTTGACGAAGTCGCAGGAAGTAGTAGAGCTGGGTGGATGGAAAAGCCGCCGATAACAAATCGCGCATAGTTTGGAACGACGCACCAGTGTTGGATCCCAGCTGATAAAGAGTGGATAGTGAGCCTGGATGTCATCCAACATCTCCGGTCATAGTTGCCAATGAAGATCAGGATGGAGTCGTCGCCGAAAACGCTTGTGTAGAGATAATGAGGTAGGTGAGGACAACGAATGACGGCGAAAGTCAACCACATGTTCTCGGAAATCAATCTTCCGAAGAAGTCTGTGCACCCAGGGAGCATTTAGATGTGGACGTAGCATGTGTTGCCACTTGCTTTCCTGGACCCAAACTGAGGAAAGGGGAAGTTTAATTTCAACTGGAATTGCACAGAAGAGCCAGTAGTTGTTGGATCCCTTCCATGAAGCGCAGGTTCGAAGAAGGCATGCTGTCCCCGCAGAAGCTGTAGATATTTACGGCTGCGTGAGTGTTCTCGGCGAAGAACATCCTGTTCTGTAGCACCAATGTAGTATGGGCTATGCCATGGTGAGAGTCTGATGTAGACGCATGGTTGTTGATGATGGCCCGGATCCTGAATGAAGTCATACAGGTCCGGGAAGCGAGTCCGCAGAGATCGAAGGTGCTTCATATCCGCGAAGGTGGAATGCAACTCACAAGACAAGCCATGTCCAAAGTAGAGCACTGTCAAGTTTTCAACCGCTTGTCACTTGCCGCGCAATTGCCACTCCGGGCGAATACTCGAAAGAATGGAAACAGCTTACCCGGTGAGTAGGCGGGCCGCCACGACGAGCAGGCACAGCGCTTTGTCCGAGAGCTTGGCGGTGTAGCCGGGTTCCAGTCCCCACAAAGAGGCCATGGCCGCAAACGTAGGTGCATCTCCTTTTGGCAAGCGTTGACGCGCCTGCAAGAGCTGGGCCGCCATAGGCTCCAAGGACTTGTTGCCGTTGAGACGGGACGAGTGATTGGCCCACTTAACCAGTGACGCCACGGTAGTGGTAGTGGGAGCCTGCTTGAGGTATAAGCGCGGTTGGTCACTGGTCCATGTGTAGTGCTTGATGATGTCCGGCGTGCTGCGCATGGTGAGCAACTGAGGTGTGGATGGCTTGGAAGGCGGGGCCGACAGTCCGTGAAGAGATTGTATGATCCGAGGTTGTTGGTGATGGACCATCAAATGACCTGCCGTCGAGGGCCGCCGCACTTACCGTAGGCAGCGAGCTGGTTGGCGTCGAAGACTGTGAATGGTGGGCCGGAGGCGGTGTAACCAGCTCTGCATCATCTTTCTGAGAGGGCAACGTAGAAGAAGGCGAAGCTCGCTGTGACGCCGAGTACTGTGCCTGGAGCAACTCATGAGCTCGATGGAGATCATTGTACTTCTCGAGCATGTCCCCTTCTTGGGTAGAGGGTGCAAGAGTTTAAATGATGTTGATGAAGAAACTGAATTACCAGATTGGCCAAGTGATCGTGAACCTTGATGCGCTGATTGAAGTCGTCAAGATTGAGCCCAAGTGAATTGGCGAGGTCCTTTTCCAAGGTAAGCAGGTTGAGCGGCTGCGATCGGCACAGTAGCTTTGAACAGGTACTCCAGAGCAGGGCTTCGGCGCGGGTGCGAAATCCTTCCCACGTCACGAATCTCCCGTGAGCAAATGGTCTCAGGAGCCAGTTAGTGATGCGCCCGTGAATGACCTGAACCAAGCGCCAGACATATCTCGTAGATTATTGTGTGGGGTGTTGGCAACCGTCATGGGCAGGCTAAAAGAGTAGAGCTGGCTGATGTCAAACATGCCGTCACCAGGTTTCCAATCATCTGGTGGGGTAAGCCACGCTTTCTGAGGCCGCACTGGCAGCGTGGCTGGGTATCCAGGCGATGTTGTAGTTTGGGAGGAAGGAACCGGTGCGTGGGCAGGTGGTGGCATCATGGGCTTCACGATCTTCGCCGGTATGGGCTCCGGAGGAAACGGCATCATGTAGTTGCTGAAAGTGTTGCGAAGAGGAGGGATTCTGTTGGTAGTTGCCCTGCGGCATTGGAAATGCACTGGAGGCGTTGTAGCCCGCATTGTGTTGCCAGGAAACCAAGTTGTTCCAATCCATGCCGTCCGAGACCAGGGTGTCATCATGATCACGTCTGCGTGCTTTACGAGGCTGGGAAGATGGACTCCGATCCCGTCTGCGCCGAGTTCTGGATCTGCCACGATCATCTCGTCGAGACACGACGAACCCAGGTAATAGCACAAACCAATCTTGAGAAAGACTAAGACAACCAAGCTTCAATTCCATGACAACGCAAGACCATGCCAAGACAACGAATGAAAACATCAGCAATCAGCGCCAGCAGGCCCGTGAGACGTCGCTATGATCTGGTGGCTGTCTTCCTTTTAGTGAAACCTCGTTCCTGCCTAAACGTGATTCTCCGCTGGTCTATGATAAGAACGTTGAGGTCAAATTGTCCGGCGAACCGGCCCGGGGTCACACGATGGGTACACCCGAGGGTCCCCCAAAGATGGGGTGTTCACACTTAGACTCCAGATGGAGGGTTCTAATCTTTCGAGTACAACTGATGAGTCTCGAGTACAACTGATGAGTCTCGTGTACAACTGATAAGTCTCGAGTACAATAAGTTTCGGCTCGCACATCACTCAGCTTCACTCTAGTTACTTGAACAGGGGCACACAAAAGCAACAGCGGTTCAGGGAGGGGACCAAAAGGACCTTCAGAAACATCACTTCACAAAAGCAGGTACACGCGGATGATCAGTCCGCGTTTCCCCCATGGTGGTTAGCTTCGTTGGCACAGGTCACCACCATGGGCCTGTGCCCCCTGCTGCAGCGGAAAAAGGTTTTGGTGGCAGGGTATTCTGCTACTCCGCACACACACACACACACTGCTCCTTTGTGTCCAACATCCAAGACTCCGGCTGACTGCAGCTTCTGCCACAGCAGCCGAGCAAGAGCCTGGACCTTGGTTCACTCTCATCAAAGTTCCCCAAAGAACTGAGGCCTAGGCCCAGGTAATGCAAGTCCAACTTCCCGCCCTGCCGTCAATCTACATGTTTCAGTAATGACAAAAACCTGCCACAACCACAAGAGCTGCAGCTTGGGACCAAAGGAAAGAAAGCGAAGCCGCTCGCCTTCCAAAGGCGGAGGATTCTCTCCTGGCCATTTGAGTCATAAGCATAACCCGATACTAACATGTTCTGCCCAGAACTATGCAAAGAAGGCTATTTCTGGTTGGGATTGTCCCCTTGCTAACCTTCATCTACCCGGGTCTTGAGGACGTGGCTCATTTGGATCTGCGGCGCCTCCTGGGCCTCGAGCAGCAGGCTCATGGCATCCGCGTCACGGCCAGCTTCCAGCAGCACGTCCGCCAGTCCGACCACCTCCACCTCACCCCAGCGCTTTACACCGAGAAAAAGACCTCGGCACGACTCTCAGCGCGCGGCACCGGCGTTCTCTTTGGGAGCCTCTGCGCATTTTGGGCTGCAGGTTTGATTGCTTAGCTGGACGAACCTGCTTCCCTTCGAAGAATGACAATGCCGCTTGCCAGTGCAGCACGCTCAGCCTTGACACATGTACACAGCTTGGTTCAATATTCTCACCATCTTCTAAGTCGCCCACCACTCTGCAGGTAGGCTTGAGACTAACCCATCTGAAGGCACTGATTGTTCCGCCTAAGCGCAAGCTTTGGCGGTTTGGCTTTGATCATGCCGGGCCCACCTCCTCAAGCAGTCTTTGTGCAACATGGCGGAGTCCTGCCTCTGGGCACGTCTGTACTGTAGCATCCATGACAGGACCATCACATCAGCAGATGGGACGCAGCGTCCTCTTGACAAGCCTTGGAGACGATGCCATACTGAAGGATCAAGTCTTCCTGCTCTCCTCGAGCATTCCATTTGATTCTTTCTGACTACACGACTTAGAGTTTACAGTCTCCATAGCCAAGTTTCGAGGAGTGCCAACCAACTGCGACCTTTGCAGAGCTTGCAAGTGGTCCAGCGCATCAGACCAGCGCATGGAATAGGCGCAGGCAGCTATGACAGCCTGCCATCTGGTCAGCCAGCAGTTCAGAATGCACAACAATATTCCTGCCTTAAAAGTGGACATGGTGGGCGCCAGGCCTTGCTCCTGCAGCTCGTGCATAATCCTCAACTCAGTGCACAGTCGCTTCTCACTACAAATCACTTCCAACACTCATCATTGGAGCAATGAAGTCTCCTGTAAGCTTCCTCCCATTGACTTGCTTCTCGGCATACGCCCAAAATTGCGTTGTAAAAGGCAGTGTCGGGTGTCTGGTTGCATGATGTGGCATCCTGGAAGAGAACTCTCCATCGCTTTGCACAGCTTTGAAGCAGCCGAGCCTCGAGGAAGCTTACGGCAAGCTGCCACTCTGCGCTGGAAGCACCTAGCAAGTGCCACATTCACCCATCAGTCCAACTGCGCACGACTGGCAAGGCACATGCAGAAGCAATCGATGTGAAGCTCAGCATATCTGGCTGCTCTGACCTCAGCTTCACACAACCAGCCGCAGGGTGCTCAATTAGTCAAACAAACAGGATGTCGAATGTCGTTCTTGGGTGGATGTATTTCTGATGTGCCTCATCAAATCGAGTTTTCTCAGCCAACTGCCTGGCTGGCAGCTCTTTGAAGAGTGCCAGCGCAGCGTGTAGCTTCCGGGCCTTGACACACAGAATGCACGCTGGACTTTCCGTTTTCCCAGTCTTCCTGAGGCCCTGGCCTTGCGGCAAGCGTTGATGCACAAGTTCCAGACAATGAGGCCAGGCTTCAGCCTGACAGCCGAGGCAATAGCGTCTCTTCGGTCAGGCCTGTCTGACAAGAGCCCCACTGCTTCTCATCCAACAGTCTCAGAAGATCAATAGCTGCCTCGGATGTCAACGTTGAGATATTGACTGATATTGACCATGACGCATATTTCTCCAGGAATTGACAACATGTGTCATCCAGGTGCCCAACCTCCCAGTAAAGGGCATTGCCACACGCACTGATGGTAGACCCAAAGCTCGTCAAGCTTGCCTTCAGGCTTCCCTGAGAAACTCCGGGCGAGTCTGAACTTCTGAACTTCGCGCACCGTCCTTGCCTCGCCCATGTTTGCCAGCATCGCAAGTGCCTGGGACAGTTGAAAAGAGCCAGCCATGGCTAGCACGGCCCGTCCTCCTGCCAACGACACCCCCGATCGCAAGCGCTGAGTGCTGCGTTGACGGCCACAACATCCACAGCGGTGTTGTTGTCTTGCATGCTTCTGAAGACCTAGGCGTGCCGCATGCAACGACTTCTTGCAAGCGGCAATTCTGACATGATTGTTCAGCCAGTCTTAGGTTGAGACCTGCAAGGCTTCTTGCCATGCGTGTCCGTGCTCGCAAGCAGACATAACTGCACCTTGACAAATCAGGCCAGAGGACTCAAACGACTTCCTTAACATTGAGTGCCCTGCTATAAGTAATGACATTGGGCTCGAGAGAATGGCTGGACTTCATGTCGTCGAAAATATTCAGTGCGCCTTTCTACATGCACATCAAATGCAAAACAACATGCGTGTGATGCTAGCGGCGGTTTCAGAAATTTCAAACCCTGCAACATTGACTGAGTCATCTACGCTGCCACTGACCACCCTTGTCACACGCAGTAAGCACTGCATTGGAAGTGACCTGCAAAGCATGCTTGCAGTCCTGGTTTGTGCAGCAAAACAAGCAATGCAGCGTGCACGTAAATCCGGCATTAATTTCCCAATTTGAAGAAATATTTCTATGACATGATAATGGCGCAGAACCTGTATGTTGCGTGCTCCACTGGTTTGCAGCTGGCGCATCCTAACTTTGTTGAAATGTCACGGACGTAACTGTTTCAGTGTGCGTGGAGTGCGAGTTAGGGTGTCGCTTTAAGTTTTGGGGTGGGGATTGCATGCCTGCCTGCCTGAATGCCTGCCTGCGTTCTTGTGTGCCTGCACGCTAGCCTGCTTGCGTGCCTGTCCGAGCTTGTGCATTTCCACTCTCAGCGACGCCAAACATATGGCCGCCAGTTAGGCTCAGCCTTGAGCCAACATGCCACACATCAAATGACTGATTGATGAAGATGTACTCACCCAGTTTTTTGTCATTATGTATTTCTCTGGTAGCACCCCTCTTCCCAATGACAGTGCACCACTTTGCTAGTAGACCTGCTCATGAATCACCTAGCGTTCCCTGCGACGTTGCAAGCATGGCTCTCAAGGTGTTCGGTTCAATCACACAACCACGAACGGGCTAAGCCACGCACCGCATCAGGCAGGACGGCATATCCTGGGCACTTGACGCGCACAAACACAAGTCCCACGCTGTGTCTGGGCATGATTGTACCAAGGCACTCTTGGCTTGGCCAAAGAGTGCGAGTGCAGTCTGCCAGTGAGTTGCCCTCCTGGCCAGACAGCTTCTGGATTGGCTCATGTGCGCTTACTGCACATGCTCCAATCCTTGCGTTGGCTGCCAAGCATGGCGGGAGCACCCTGCTGCAGAGACACTTGCGTTCAACGCATGAATGGCAATACCACCATCCTTGTGCATGTCCTTCGTCGCGAAAAGAGCAAAAGATTACTACAGCTAGTCTCAGTCAGCATCAGTGACCATGGACGACAATCCCTTGGTGGGGTGATACAGGAACCCAGGTCCATCCTTGAAGCTTCACAGCAGCAGTGAGCACGAAGGGATAAAATGGGAAGCTTGAGCGAAAGTCCGACTTCGGTTACGACTGGCTCCTCCAGCATCCCAATGGTTTCCTCCCAGAGCTGGGCCCGGCTCAGCGCACCCATGGCCACCTAGCAAACAACTCGAGCCAATGGGCATGCGCATGACCCAGGCACGGACAACCCAGTCACGTGGATCCCGGATCAAATTCCATCGCCGACACCTGGGGAAAATCAATCCGAACTCCAAAACATATTCTTTCTGTGCTGCAACAGCAACCAAACAACCAACATCGAGTCAACGAGAGCCAGCGGCGCTCATGGATCACGAGGAGCACCTGCCAACAAATCTCTGACTCTTCAAAGGGGTCATGCTATGCGTGCGCTGTCACGTGGCACCTCTTCTGACTTCCGCTTGCCTTTGCGCAGCTGATGCAGCCTGGAGAACGTCAAGAGGGAAATCCAGGAAAAACCCGAGGAAGCGACATCGCCGGGCCTTGCAAAAAGCTCGTGCCGCGCACTCGCCGCCAGCCATGACGGTGCCTGGCTAGCGCCTGCCGCACAAGACACGGCCTGCCCACATCGAGCCTGCACCGCTGAGGCCTGAGAACGCTCGAGGCCTCACATGGCGTAAAGAAATCAGCCCCAGGCGCAGGTTTTAGGCCATATTTCCATTTACCAGGGTTCCATTTTGGGGACCTATTTTTGACCCACACCCAGATGGAGGAGCAGTGCACATGCAAGGCGAGCAGTGATCTGAGACCATGGCCTTGGCCCGAAGCTCGCAGCTTCAGAGCGCAAGACACGCCATGAGCGCATCAGGTTTCATCTGTTTGCAAACCCAGGCAAGCGTTGGACTAGTTCGGTAACATCGCCTAACAACCAGCCACACGTACACAAATATTGTACCTATGTATGTATATAAAAGTATAACATTCACCTGCGCTTGGGTCTGGATCGGGGTGTTTGGATCGCTTGTGGGCCCGGACTTCTCATCCGGACCTTATAACTTGAGCCGCAGCTGTGTATACTCATCTACATACACAATTTGTCGCTGTCAGCCACGGGTTGATGCACAGAATTCCACGGAAGGCGTCCAGTGTGGCTCCTCTGTTGCCAATAACGCTGCATGCACTGCTTTGCCACAGCCACAAAGTTGCGATTCACTTTGCGGTGCACATTGCAGTGCAAAACAATGCATGTCCAGATTTGCTGCAATCCCTTTGACTTGCTTTTTGGTCGACTGTGGTTTGAATGTTGGTCATTGGTCATTGTACACGTACATGACAGTTTTGGTCACGACATAGTGAAACAAGCCAGCCTCCACAAAAGTACGAGGCGATGCTGACATTATCATCTCTATCTCTCACCAATCCCCCTTCTCGTCCTTGGTTTGCACATCTCGGCGTGTCTCTGTGTTTTTGGAGGGTCCCCTGCCAAAACAAAAATCCGTCCCCTTAAGCCTTAAACCTTTTGTGGAGCGTCCTCAAACCAAAGATACACCGCTGGCGTCAGCTGCGTGCAACTGAGTGCACATGCGGTTTCCCAGGGCACGGGCTGCTGGCCAGCGGGGCATGCACCAGAAGTTGAAGCAGTTCGACGCAGCGCCCTTGTCAAAAGGATTCCTAAATGGGATTCGGATGCGAGCCGAGTGGGTCTCGTGGAAAAAAGCCTCTCAGGAGAAAAACTGCATGTCTCGGAAGGTCCAGAAATGACAGACCCTCTCTTTGAACCTTACGCCGTCTCTGGCCAGAGATTCCGACAAACAGGATTTGTTTTGACCAGCGCCGCAGCTGCGCTATGAAAATGCTGTTTGTTGCTGGATGATCGACATCTGCCGTCCTTGTCCGATCATACACAAACGCATCCTTGTCAAACAGCTCGTTGTACCTGAAAGCGCAGAGGCCGACAGCCAGCAGCCGTCAACTCCCTCGGGGTGCTCATCATCGTCCAACTCCTCCACGGGGACTTTGTCCCCGAGGCTTGTGTTGTTGGCCTAAGGCCCAACAAAAAGGCCGTGCTTCAGTCAGGCTCAGGCGCTCACCACATAGTTCTCATTCTTTTTCCACTCCTGCGCAGTCTCGTTCCTGAAAGGCATGTGCTGTCGCTTCACCGATCTGATTCAGCTCAACAATCTGGTGTCCCTATTTGTCATATAGCTCGCTTTGATTCTGCCAGCACGTTCGCAAGCCGCCTTGAGACCAGGCCGACGTGAATCCTGCAAATGGGCCTCGGCTCACACAGGGGCAAAGCAAAAAAGCAAAGTCTTCGAAGGATTCCCAGGTTCCAAGCCATTCAATGAACAGCAAAGCAATCGAGTAGGCCAAATGCAACCTCAGAGGCTCGAAAAACAAAACGACTCACGAATGGCATGCTCGCGGCGTAAAGGAGAGTGTGTCAGCTCGTGTCTGTGGCTCAGGCACCACAACGATCTCGCTGTCCATGAAGCCCTGGCAACATGTGGCACATGTGCCGGCCAACAGAAGCCGCACCTTGCCTTCTCGGCGATCAGGACAGCGAGCCACAAGTCAATCACGATTCCAAGCCTTGGATCAGTCCAAAGCCCAAGAATCGCTTGGTTTCTCTTGCAGCTGATCTGGGGCGAGCACAAACCAATTGATGTCAAGCCTTGGCACGCGCCACACGACATGCTCCACGAGACCGCCCACTGACTCGTGGCCCGTTGGCTGCAAATTTCCCCACACAGCTCCCGGCCAATGAGCATTGTGACAAATTCCCTATGGTTCAGGAGTCCTGGGCGCCACTTGCCACGCCATCTGCAGCCAATCTGACCTTCAAACGTGCCATGAAGTTGCCACAAAAAGGCAAACAAAAAAAGTCTCATGGCTCTGAGTGCTACTCCAATCACATTTTGGAGCCACTTGCCTTGGAATCAGATCGCCACATTCGTATGTTGATGCCGTGCCGACCAAGTACACTCTTCTGCCAGAGTTCAGTCCAGGTGCAGTAGTGATCATACCGACGGATGGGCCTGGGATATTGCCACGACCTCGTTCTTGCAGGCCGACAACAAAGACAGAATCACCAAGAAAATGCGCCAGAATCTGCCCTGCCAGTTCAAACAATGTGACGCTGAGGACAGGGCTTATGCGCGCGTCTCGGCATGCCCTGCAGCTTGCAATCTCTTGAAGCCAAGCTGAGCATTGCTGCTAAACTGGCTGACACCAAAAAAATGACACTCGGAAACTTGAAGGTTGCCGGACATCTGTCGCCGGAATATGCTCTCCCATCTGAGGAACAATTACCAGCCCGAAGCTTGAACTACACCCGAAGCTTGAACTACACACCAGCCCGAAGCTTGTTACGCGCATATACATATTTTATATCTTTGCTTACACATATTCCATTGATTTCTCTACTTATCTACTTATTGATGAATGCCGTCTCCTGTGCTGTGTCGAGGCTACCATTCGAAGCGGTATCTCCCCACCCCTCGCTCCGATTCCAGACCCTAGACCCGCGACCCGCACCCCGACAGCGCACAAACCAACCCGGTCAACCCAAAGCGACACTAGATCAACCGGGCGTTTCGTTCCCAGCCCCCCCCCCCCCCGGTCAAAAACGAAAGCGGAACCAAAGCATCAAATGCTCTCGGGAGAAATATTCCCCGCACGGCAAAAAATGGCGCAGCAAAAGATGAAATGCAAATGTGGAACTGTGCATGACGTGAGTATATACTTGATATATCCGGGCTGTCTCAAAAACTTGCCCTGCCAGCATACACTGTACAAACAAATGTGATTCCCGTGAAAGTTGTCGCGGTATCATTGGCAAACTGTGCCAGAAACTGTCACCAGTATCAAACTGCCTTGAAAGTGACTTGACGCTGCTCGTTGATGCCCTGTGTTGCCCACGAAGTCACATTCCACAGCTGTGCTGTGTGGGGTGGAAAGCTTGTGCAATGTGCGTTGGTTTTGAGAAAGCACCACATCGGACCAAACACGTGAATATACATAAGCATGTTGATGTCTGCAAGCTCCAAAGCACACAAAGACGCCTAAATATTTAGAGACTGGCACGCTGGCAGCTCGGAAGCTTTCACAAAGACAAAGAAAACAACAGTGCGCGTTGCGTTACATTACACTACGCTTCATTGCATTGCACTCCATGTCATTACATTGCTTTCCATACCACACTGCACATCACATCTCAGATAATTTTGCAGGTCACACTACATATCATGTCACATTAGATACGTCATACCACAATATATGGTTTCATCATGTTAGGCGTTAGGCTTCAAACATGTGCCCAGCCTCCTCAATGTCCACCCCTGCTGGCTTCAGATTACGAGTCTTCTTGACTTGACCAGGATCTGCAAAAGTGCAGTACCTCCATGCATCCTCAAGCAAGCAAGCAGATTCTGGACAGCTGGAAGAAAAACAGTTTGCAACCGCCGAATGTCCAATTGGATTGAAACGCAGAAGCGCACGTCATGCAACCCAGCGTAATACCGTAGAGTACAGAGAAGGCCGCGGAGAGCGCTGCCTGCCCGCGGTGTGGCACTGGGAGAGGCAAATCAAAAACATCGGGGCGGGGGGGGGGGGGCCGGGGGGAGGGGGTCGTCAAAATGTTGGGCGCCTTTTCGGCATCCCCTTCAAAAAGAGACACAAGGCGGCACCACAAAGAAACAAAAAAATGTTTGAGCAATCTCAAGACACTTGTCACGGCCTGCGACATGAACGTGAATCGGCTGAGTATCGGAATTTGCACAAGCATCATGCATATGGCTCCCACAACCTCAAAAAGCAGGGACCAACTGCATTCCAACCCAAGACTGTGCCAAGCTTATCTGAGCTCAGGACTGTTGACAATGCAAGAGCCTTGGCATTGAGTCTAAATCTCAATCTAAACCCTGTAAGCAGCTTGGCCTCTGAGTCTGAGCCCTAGGCCACTGGCAAAATAGGCTTCAAATCAATGCCCCAGAAGGTGTAGTCCAAGCTGGGGCCCCTCACAAGACTTGATCTCATTCACATGGTCGCACGGGTGCAGCAGTGCAAATGCGTCTGCAAATGTATGTGCGCACAAAATAGAACACTGAACCTGAAACAAGAACAAGCCAACGCCCCGGCTTGTCTTCTGCACCGAATTTGTCTTCGTCCAGCCAACCCTCTTCCGCGCACGACTCCTGTGGGCTCTTCTATGTTCAGCGAAGTGTAGTGCCACTGCGAATTTGACGCCTCTCCTGGTAGGTTGACTTGTTGGCACTGGCAGCTGCCAAAAGCGTCCTTGACATGCACATGGCGAACTCCAATCTGCTCAGCGCATGCCAAAAACACTGTTAAGCGTCGTGGGCGGCAGCCGTCCGTTGGTCAAAGGGGCCATCTCGCTCCTGGACAGCTCAATTTGCTGGAATGATTCAAGGCAAGCTCCGCAACTACACAGCTGCAAATGAACACAATTTCCGGTGGCAACAAGCTCGGCAGTCATGTAGGGCGCTGTAGCCGGCTGCATGAGCGGCATGCCGGTTGGATACCTGCGCTCGATGTGCGGAACGCTCGCGGCAGGTGGAACCAAAGTGTCTTTGGTAGCGCACGTCGGGATCAAACCATCCCCGAAGCCCATGTGTTTCTGCGTGCCAACTTGCACTGCAGGCTTATAGCCTTGGTCCAACAGTTCGAGGACATGTTGCCTGTCACACCTAAGGCAAACCAAGGAGCTGCCATAGGGACTGCCATAGCCAGAAAAAGTCCCTGACCTGTGCAACGCATCAATGAGAATCCGAAAGCTGGTGGGTTCAAAATGCACCGGGGATGACAACTGCTCACCTGAAGTTGGCTTCCGTATAGCTGGAGGACGACGGCAGCATCATTGGCAACAGCTCACGCTGAGGTGCTGAAAAGTACCAGAGCTAAGCAGCTCTTGAGTGCACGGCACACATCTTGCTGCCAAACAACAGCTCGTTGGATTCGCATTCAAACCTCTGCCCCTCCGGTTTTGAACACGCGGTAGATGCTTTGCAAGCGACGAAATGCCCATCTGTACAAGGAATGGGCAACATTCTCGCCCAAGCAGCAACTACACGAAAACCAAAGGTTCCCTTTCTTCTCAGAAGGCGAGAAAGCCTCATGTGGCGAGAATTCTCCTGGCCCACACAAACTTGCGGAGCTGTCTCTGTCGCGTCA